ACGCTGCGAATAGCTAGCGCTATTCAGATAGGAAAAAACCATCACTGATTGAAAATAGACTATTCATTTTTTAATATTTTTGCTTCAAATTACACAGGACTTTGTCGGATGTTTGGCGTACTAGTGCCTGATTCGTTGAGAAGACCACCAAACAATGTCAACTGACAAGCAGCAGCATTGAATCCATAAATTATTAGATAAAACAAATATTATAACGATTAGTTAGCTTAGCTAGGCTTGACACCATTTGTGTTACACAAATCTTGTGGCCTTGTTGTGCGTTCATAAGAACAGTACAACGGTAGCACGGAGGGAAGGATCCCGTAGGTGAGTAATGCTTTTAATTTAAAAAAAAATGATGTTTCATAAACAAATCAATTGATACTAATGATCAGAGTATTGCTCAGCGCTGCTGCCATCCACAGCATATTTAAATATCTTGCTGAGAATGCGTCGTCCGTCGCATGCGAAGGTATGTAGCAGTTTATACATCACAGCGAACAACAATACATGCATTGTTCTCTATTCAATCGTTTGAATGTTTTGAGTCACATAATCGTGAAGAGAACAATGGATTCATTCTTGTTCGCTGTGATGTATAAACTGCTACGCACGTTCGCATGTGACGGACGACGCATTCTCAGCAAGATATTTTAATATGCTGTGGATGGCAGCAGCGCTGAGCAATACTCTGCTAATGATTTTCGTTCCTCTTTTCCATGTATTCACACCTGAATGTTACGCTATGGCAACAGTAGAAATGACTGAAACTACACACAAAAATCCGGGTCTAAAATTGACCGTGAATTTGTGTCTGGTATTGGGTGAATTTGTATTACAAATTGTTCCTTGAGTAGGCACTTTATTTCTTTTCAATATCCATGAATTTTATAAAAATTCAATTTCGTTCCTTATATCAAATGATTGTGTAATTTTTTTAAAAATAAAATCATAAATTGCGTTTTTTCTCTAGACATTTACAATTGTTAGATAAAACGATTTACTCCCATGCATTTGTGCGAAAATATTTTTCATAGCGTTCTAATGCGATTAAACTGAGATTCACTGGATCGCTGCTCCATTTTTTCACCAAAAATTGTTTTTCTTCGACGTAAATGGTCACTTTTCGAGTCAGTTTTTGGGTTTTACCCAGATGTTCACGTTCTTTATTCAATATGGACAGTTTTGGTATATCTTCCTGATCGGAAGCGACATAAAGAACGATTTCCTTCAATTTTGATGCATGTCTAACAAACGGCAAAATATTGCTTTGAATATAATAATCCGTATGAAGCCACAATCGTTCAAGGTTTATCATAGATTTTGCGAAACGATCCAATTCAAAGTAGTAGTCGAGTTCATTCATGTAGTTCACACTTCTTCCAAATATTGATCGTAGAATGTGGTATCCTATGAAACCTAATTCTTTGATTTTAGCTAAATCAGAATAATCAGAATGACGTCTTAGATATATTTCGGAGTCAAGCATTCCAAGTCCACCAACATCCCATTTCCAGTCATGACTATCAATACTATAATGATCCACTTCCAACACATTTATTCTTTTGTAAAATCCACGTTCGTAGAGATGATTTAATAAATCTGTCGATATTGCTTTTTTGTCGTAGGATTTAATGGTGAAATCATCGAGTTGAATATTTGTTTCCATCAATGTACCGATGCATTCACCGAGTTGATTGTTATCAAGTGTGAATTTTTGAATGTTTGGATTTTGTTCAAGAAACTGCAACACTTGATCCATTTTAATGCGGTTTTCATCATACTTCCAATTCAATTCAAAATGCACAAGCGTTGGATAAGTTTGACATAGCCATTCGCAGTTTGTTAAAAATTTAGTCTCTTCAATGAATAAACTTTTCAAATTCACGCAATGTTCCAGCAAACACTCATGGAAATCATCCGCAACAATACAAGACGATATACGTAGTTCTTCAACATTATTCAATAAAGTACGGATGTTACTCATATCATATACAGTCAACGTACAACGTTTGAATTCGATGCGTTTAAGTGATTTATTACAGTGTGCGTTGATATACTGATATTGTTCGTTTCGTTTCTTATTGATAGTGTCGCTTGTGTTTTTAGTAGAAAATCGTTGACATTTAAAACATTTAGTAATGGCTATATTTTTGGAATATTTTTCGAAACCAATAATGTGCTCTAACACTGGACATAATTCGCAAAAATCAATGCGTTCTCTCGGATAATTGCGTTGAAAGTGACGGCCAGCAATTTCTTGTAACTGTATACATGTTTTACTAATTGAAAGCAAATCGTCCACAGATACTCATTCGAATAATTCCTCAAAGCAATGTTCATTCAGATTCAAAATAGATGTTGGCTGACTTCTATCGGCTGGTGCATTAACAATATCTATGTCGTTTGGTTCATTGACATCGTTCAATTTGCGTCGTTTTCGTTTGGTATCGAGTTTTGGTGATGCTAAACGTTTACCGGTGTCGATGCTTTTGGTGTCGTGGTACCACTTCGGTATTGAGTTCATGTATTTCACAAATATATTTTGAAATGGTTTTGCTTTTGATTCGCCGGCTAATGCAAATGTTTGACAAACGAGCAACAAATATCAACCAGTAGAGACACAGTGTACACTGTACGCCTATATATGATTGACACTACTCAATGAACGAATCGGATATTACTATCAATATATTGTTGACACTCGATAGGCAAATTTTAAGTGATCAAACAAACCATAAAACAATCACCAATCAACGCCATCTACAATTCGAAGAACGAAGACTTAGGACAGAAGTAAATTAAATTAATATAACAAACGGTTGTATAAAAATTACAAAATATAAAAAACAAAGGATCACACATAAATGATGGCATTAAAACAGTGTTCATTTTGTTAAATTTTAATTGAATAGTCCATATTTTATTTCATAGAATTTATAAAAAAAAATCACATAAATTCATAGATTTTGTTTAAAATAAACAGTTTCAATCAATTAGTTCGAATCGTTGAACTAATCAAAATCTATGCGAAAGAGTGTAATAATCTAAAATTATTAAATATACAAATGTTCTTCTCATTGTTCGAACACAATTAAACGAGAACATATTCATCTTCATTATTTATATTTTTTGTTTTGAATTATTAAGGCTTACATATCATTCACGTTCATTTATTTGTGTTTTAAAATATCAAAATCGTTCAAATTTATACAACAATAGAAATACACACACAAATTAACGTCATTTGAAATCGCAAAAAAAAATAATTGAAAAAGTCGGCTAGTTATCTAATCGAAGATGCGATAAAATAATGCTTTTCCATGTGTTTCTTTTTAAATGTTATCTGTCGGTGCATTTATTGACATCATTTGGTATTTGCTGTGCTAAAAGTCTTGTGCTTCTATTGATTTTCAATTGAAAGACGCAAAATTCATTCCATTTTTGATTCCATTTATTTCACCTGTTACCATTTTGCTGTGTGTTTGGCCACAAATTCGATTTTATTTCCTTTCATTTTCTTCCCAAAAAACCTTTGAAACCACTCAAAGTTCATATTTATGAGAAAATGCATCGGATTCAGTCGCACCTATCAATATGTGTATAATTTGTTTGTTCGCTATTGAGACAACGTTCAATTTTGTATCTAGGTTTGCTCCAATAAAGTGTTTTCATCGAATTTTCCATGTGAATGGTCATTCTGATATTTTTTTTTTATTTCCTTAAAATACTTTTTGCATCTTTTCGTCAAATCGAAATTATTACAATTTTTGCTGTTTAATTTGTTCTAATAAATCACTAAAAGATTAACAGTATTCTTTTTTTTTCAATTCGCCATTCCTGATATTATTTACTCGTAGATAGAATACTATGCTTGTTGATTTGTTATGTTAGAAGAGTCCTTCGAATATTTTTGAATTGACGGCAACACTTCGAGGACATGGCCGAATTAGCAGTTCATGGCCCATTGCCGTTATTGGTACAGTAGCATGATGTTTGATGAGATTATCTAGTTTTGAGAAAATGTGAACGATTAGAAATGTTCAAAATTTTTACGGTTTTACAAATTATGCAAGCATTGACACTTACTCAGAGTGGCATGGGTCAATTGGTTTGCGCCTAAAAATTTATATTGTCCAGTTGATGCATTGATCAGATAATGTTTACAGCGATCGATATCTTTATAGGAAATCGCATAGCCCCAAATTTTCTCCGACAGTCGAACCAGAAACGTTCCCATCGGTTCAGACTCAAGCAATTGTTCGGCTTCGATTCGGCTCATTAAACCATAGAACCTTTAAATAAATAAAAAAATTTGCAAATATATTAACATTAATTCAATTTATTTTAAAAATGCAATAATTCAATTTATTTCATGCAGCATCTTTAAAGAAAAGCGAAAAATAGGAATTTTAAACGCTAATTATTAAAAAAATGACTCTAGCATCGTTTGATAGATGTATGTGTACACTTACCATTTGCATGGCAGACGATTTTCAACCGATTCTAAACCGGCACCTTTGGTAATTTCCACATCGTGATACCTAAGGGGAGAATCACAAAAGAAAAGAATAAAATTTAAAATAATCGATAAGTAATCGGAAAATAATCGAAAATAATCGGAAACATATAATGAAAAAATTGAAATTGAATCTAGAATCAATAATAATTAATCGTGATACCATTGAATCATTTTTTCATGACTGGCCGGTCGTGGAATTAAGGCATCCAGACTGGATGGAGGCGAAGATGATGGCTGTGATTGTGATTGTGGCTGTGTTTGTGGCGTTGAATTTATGCTTGGTGGTTGTGGTGCTGGTCCTTTTGTTGATGTTCCATTCGTCATTGGACTGTGACATCCATTTGCTACACCGTTTTTTATTCCATTTTCCATTTTAATCGTTCCATTCAATCCGCTCTTCTTTATCACGTTTGTGGCATTCCCATTGACATGGCCATTTTTACTATTGATTGAATTTGTGGTTGAAATAATATTGGCAGTATCATCGTTATTCAATGATTTTCGATGCTCTTCACGGGCTCGACGTGCTATTTCACGATACTGAATATCAGCTTCTTTAGCTTTTCGTTCCTGTTCTTTCCAGGCTTCTTCTTGCTTTTTAGCCTCTTCTTGTGCTTGTTCTTTTTGCTTTTTTCGCAAACGTTGATAAATCTCATTGGTTTTTTCGCCGATCACACGTTGTTCCCACAGTGCAATTTTTGCCGAAACTTTTTGTGTCGGTTTATTATTTGAAATCTCTTTAAGTATAACATTTTTCTCATTTTTATTGTCCGAAAAACTGAAATTGATGATATTATTTTTCTGTACGACATTGTTTGTCAGTTTTAATTTGGTTGACGGTGCAATGCCATTTACCAATTTCGTGCGTTCACGTAGCTCATCAACGGAACAATAAATTTCCATGTCATCAATGATGGGCATCGAAGCGAGAGGGCAATCATCGACACCAAATGCATTTTTCTCATTTTTACAACAATTAGTTTTGCCATTTGTATCTAAATCGGTAATAATAATTTCCTTGTATTGTCGTCGTAATTCTTTCGTTTCAATTTCAGCCAATTCACGTGCACGCTGTTTGGCCTCTTCGTGACCCGGTTTTTTCATATTTAAATCACTGTCATCGCTGTCACTGTCTGTATATATGGCTGGTTCAATGACAACAACAAATGGTTCACCTTCGTCATCCTCACGAAATGAGACATTCTTATTCTTTTTGTTTGGCGTTGATTTTTTTGCTGATGTTCGGCTATCATTCTCTTGTTCACGTATGCGCCAACGTCGAATTTGCTCTTCGCGCATTTTACAAAATAACGTTTGTTTTTGATATTCATCCAAACCGGACAATATCTCCGGATCCACATACATATCATTTAATATTTGACGCAACATTTTGACTTAGCTCGCTTAGTTTTTTTTATATTTATTCGTATTTCTTCGTCGATTTCGTGCTTCGTTTTGAACTTTAAATGAATTCAACAAATTTGATCTGCTTTCCACCTGCAGAAATAAAGAAAACAAAAACGATTTAGTTTCAAAAACGGCAATACATCATATTCAATTTAAACAACAAAATATACCAATGATATTAATCGGAAGAATTGCACACATACACATGTATGAGCTAGAATATCAAATTGCTCCATACGCGAAATTACGAAAACCGCAAGAATAGCGAATGGAAAAAGTAACAAAACATCGACAAAAATAATACTAAAAGCGATTGCTTAGTTGAAATCTAACTGTAATCGAGTTATGCTTCAAGAAAAATTGCATTAATGACGGTGTTTTTTTTTTGGTTCGTTGTCTGTCTTTCTTTCTGAATATAATTCGAGGCATAAGAGAGAGAAACGAAAAAGTACTATTTTGTTGCGCTCGGATGATTTGTAGCCTCTCTTTCATAGTTAGAGGCCCTCGAATGATATTGTGTTGTCGGTGCTCATCGCATAAACAACACCACACAATACAATTTTCATTTCCAATAGCACAAAGGCTTTTATCAAATCGAAAATAAATGCAACATGTGCTCGTGATCGCGTACGCGAAAGTTACTTTTCATGTCATTGTGAGGAACAAACAAAATAAATTCAGCAAGCACACACACATACACATACCTGAATTACATCAAATGATCAATACGATTAAATGAAGATGGAGAGAGGGAAGAGGAGGAACGGTAATGTGCATTTTCAGTTAATTTTAATTCCGATACGATGTTCATTTTCAACATACGAAATCAATTTGCGCTTATTGTGAATGTGAGCGCGTGCGTGATGTGCATACAAGCACGCACATCTATATATACATCAGAAAAGTGTACAAAAGCGCAGTGTTTAGGAAATTTGCAATATTGTGCATAATTTTTTTATTTCTATTTGCAGCAAAGCCGCCAAAACTCTGTTGCAATAATAAAAATAATAATAATCAAATGCAAATGAATTTTTATTCGTCGACACGGCGAACATTATGAACGCGATGTGAGGAATACTTTCCATGTTCAATAGAGTATTATGCATGACAACACCGTTTACATTTTCTCTCTATAAAATTAATTTCGCACTCTTTTTGATCAATGCGATGCTATGTGGCGGAATCGCCAACAGTTTTAAACGGATGGAAATGATGATGATGATGTTATATTTCACGTTATCAATGTTACGTTCATCTCAAAAACCATTTAACGAAAAACAAATGCGGATAGAGAACTCACGAAGCAACACACATAATACTATTTACGGTAATCGACATTTATCATTTAGCTAATTATTACTTATGTGAAGAGATAGAAAGAAATGATTTGATGGAGGAAAAATGGTAAGTCATCAAATAAACGATATATATATATAATATATATAGTGTTTTATAGCCGCTATGCGGAATCTCGTTTGTATGCACTTTATGATTTGATTTGAAGAAGCTGGAAGTTAAATCGATTTTCCGACTGAGCGGATATTTAACGAATCGAGAAACAACGCCGCGATGTTATATGATTGCATGAAATTCAATTGAATTTGCCATATAGTGGGAATGGACGAAATTCTTCTTATTTAACACATGCCGTGAAACAGCTAGTTTTCATCAATTTCGGAATCAAACGAATTCTCTTCAAACTCTATCCGACTTTTGTAATGCCAACATAAAAGAGTAGAAATACAATTATGATTTTGAGGCAAAAGAAACGCATCGTTTGACTGATTGAATTAACCTTGGTCACAGATTTCATTGAATGTCTCAAGATCGTTTCAATTCATTGGGAGCCATGCGTTCTGCATGACAGCCTCTATTAAGAGACACGAAAGAGGTGCCGGCGTCTAGGTTTCGAGAATTTTCGTACGAACAAAGCAACACATTTAAATATTGTGAGATAATTTCATTCGACACGCATGCAATGCTCCAAATTGCTTTCGCTCTTTGTGTTTCAGTATTTAAAGAACTTTTTGTTGCAAAAACTTGATGATTGTTTTCTTAAACCATTTTATGCATGAGTTTAACTTTGCATTTTACTTCGATGAATTTGCGTATTTCTCCAGAAAATTGGCTGCAAAACGAGTTGCTTACATTTTTTTTTTCAATTTTTTGAATTATTAACAGTCAGAACAATTTGTGACTTAATTGGTTTTGATTCATGTCCATGAATTTTTTTTTATCAATTTTGTGCAAAACATATGAATCGGGATAATATATTTATTTATTTTTGTCAATAATAAACTATGACTCAAGCCATTGAAATGGAGTGTCAATATCTGAAATTGTACAATATCAACACATTCGTCCCAAACAGATCAAAGACAGTTTTGTCTGTAAACACAAAACATTCAATTCGCTGATGCAATGATATTTAAAAACTTTATCATCCTTTGATTTTTTCAAAAACATATCATCAAGATAAGGAAATTCACGAACTTTACTTTGGTTTAAATCAGCATTTTTCAATTGTCTTTCCTTGCTCAGTACTTCTGTCTCAATTTCATTTATTGCACTGAATTTGTCCTTGGCATTAAGATGAACTACGACAAAGACAAGGAAATTAACGAATATCAAAATCTGATGGAAAGAGGTATATTTCTATTTTCTGGGCTCTTTTGAAATTTTTTTGATTTATTTACGTTTTTGCTTTATCACAAGTAAAATTTCATTTTATTTCAGCTCGAGCTTTGCCGGAAAAAAGCGAAGGGTCCAAAGAATTTTTGCGTAAATGTCAACGGGAAGTCGATGCATTTTATTTACTCGATCCCAAATCTGGACAAAATCTGGACGAAAAGCATTGGCCATGCCAAATGTCCGAAAAGAAAAGGTAATTTTCCAAGAAAAACTAAAAAAACTAGAGCAAACTACTAAAAAGTAAATCAAATCATTCATCTTATGGATTTCTTATGATGAAATAAAAAAATTGAATTGGAATGAAGGTTTTTTTTTGAAAATGTATTGAACGAATCTGTATGTTATATAGATAGCTAATGAACGTCCAAATCAGAGCTGGTGATTGAAAGAAATGAGAAGGAAGAAAATGAGGTGGGGTTTTCCTCCTTAATTGAGGAGACCATACTTTGAAAATCATCATGTATAATATAATATTCTGAAAGCTTATTTGTTTTTTTTTTTTGAAAACGATGAACTGTTGTAAACAAGTTCATAAACAAATTTTACTGGAGCGCAATATCAGCAATTGTATAATACATTCATTATTTATCAAGTGTCACATTTACTCCTGGGTATATATATGCCAATAATTATGCAAAAATTAGTAGTTCGTGATCTTTCTTGTTATGCGGATTAATTAACTGATCACACACATTAATCACTTTCAATTCGGAGTTGTGAATTTTCGATAAAAGACCCAAAGATGAGCAACGACCGGGGTATACTTACTTTAAAAACTACTATTCCATTATTGAAGAATGATATCCATTCTTTCGATTATTTTTCCATTACATCCATTTCAAAAAATCACAATATCAAAATCGATTTAGTAAGTAAGGAAGTAGTAAAAGTTTGATCACACATATACACACATAAATTAAAAACAATTTGCAAATGATCTGAACGAAGCTGCGTTAGCAAACACTTTGCTGACAAAAATTGAGATTTGGTAGTAGTAGTAGTTCTGTTCTTCCACAACAGAACGCGATTCTTAACACTACTACTAAATCTCAAATTAAAGCAATGTTGTTGCAAATGTGTGACGACTACATTGCTCTTAAACTATACATATTTGATTTTCATTATATGTTTCGATTACTTCCATTACGTTCCATTACATATTAATTAATTTCCATTATTTCCATTCTTTTCTTTGTGATTAACCCTAGGCAACGACAATGAAAAGGAAATTAACGAATTTCGAAAACTGATACAAAGAGGTATTTTTATAAAAACATTTTTTCGTTTTTCATTGATTGCAAATAATATTGCTTCTTCTATTTGGTTTTTTTTAGTTCAAGTTATGCCAGAAACAAAGGAAAGAACCAAACAATTTACAATGAAATGGCAACGGGAACTGGAATCATGCTATTCAATCGATCGTGACTCTTTGGAAAAATCACTACGGATGCCAAAGCTGCAAAAACGAAAAGAATTTCTCGATCAAACACTGACTTATTTGGAAGAAAGAAGTAAAAAGTGACTAAATCAAACCAACGGATAACTTGATGAATCGTCAACATAATAAATTCAAATGAATTAAATAAATTTGTCTTAAACTTAAGTGAATTTCGTTCATTTTAAATAGTATTCTTTATAGAAACATCACTTTATTCGAAAAACTTGCTGCAAAATGCAGAAAAATGCGAGAGTTTTTCCCATGTCTTTTTAATTAAGAACTAGATTGCTGAAACAACATTATGTCCTTTTGATAGAAAGGTCAATGCAGGGTCGAATGTCCGAAAAAATCACTTCTTTTCCACTGTAGAAAAACTGAGAAACGTTTTAATAGCTTGATTTCTTTGCATAAAACAAAATGAAAAGATTAAAATTGTTTGCAATAACAATTGAAACGTCAAAATAAATAAATGCATTATTTATCTTTGAATAAAGCTGTATTTTCAACAAATTGAAATTCAAAACAATGATATGGATTTACGACTTTCTTTCTGTATTTTCCAGAACTTGTTTCATTTCATTTAATGCAGTTGATCTGACAAGATTTGTCTCAATCATCCACCACACACTTTTGATCAAGAAACAGTTGAACGACAAAGACAAAGAAATGGATGAATTCCGAAAATGGATGGACAGAGGTACTTTTCAAATATTCAGTTTTTCTTTGAATATGGTAGAATTTTCTTGCTTGATGATTTTCGTCTCATTTTTTTCAAGCTCGAGCCATGTATTCGGACAGAGAAAGTCAAATATTTCTTGATGATTTTCAATACGATTTCGAAGTCATGAATGTCTTGAGTCCAAATAGATCGCAAATGGCATGGAAGAAGGAAGTTATGCAGACACATTTGGATATTTTGAATGAATTAATCAACGAAGATGAAAATGAGCGTAAAAAGAATTAACAATTCGATGCTGTCAATTCAAATCCAATTAAATCAATTGACTGAAAAGTGAATTTCTTTGATTCAATTTTAAGAATTTGATTTCATTAAAGATACACTTTCAGAATACATGTAAATTATATATAAATTTCCAAAACCAAAAAAAGTATTATGGAGTTAAAGAGTATTACTTTCATGGAAATAAAATTGTTTTTACTTACTGAGTGTTATGTCAATATTTATATTCAAAAAAGTTAATTTTTCTAGGGGTAATCCTTTTCAGTTGATTCTTGTTTGTTTGTAAATATTTTTCAGTTTGATAAAATAACAGAATGTAAAAGTTGGCAAATAATGAAGAAAGTTTAACATTGTTTGAGAGGGAGATGAAAAGTCATTAGTCCGCCCACAAATGTTGGCATTGTTACGATGGTGACCGATCCGTTAAAGAGGATGCGTTGCTCACGCTGCAAACACATTCTTAAAAGTGATATCATAAAATTCATTTCCAGGCCAATCGAAAGAACGTGACAATATGGGGAGTTCCACTCTCGACAAGTTAATGACAATCGGAGGTAAAAAAAAATAAAAATCGCAGTTTTTGACTGAATCGTCTATAGTTCTTTATGAATTTTCTAGAACCTCCCCTAGAACTTTTTCTTTTGCGCACTGTAATTCAGGCTTCACATTGAAAGTCGATATATCTCTCTCTGTCAGCATTTCTTCATTCATGTTCCATTCGAGTTAAAGAATTTTTTCCATACTCTATTCAGTTTAGTTAGTGCATTGATCGCGTTAACATTAATTTCATTTGATCAACGGAAAACTGCCCTAAAAAAAGTGCTCAATCTGTTCTGAAGGGAAAAATTCAGCATGGGTAAAAATTGCTTTTCTATAGTTTAATAATTGTTATTGATTCTTTTTCTATTATTTCGATTATTTGTCGATTATTTTAAATTAATTCTATTATTCTATTCTTTTCTTTTGTTATTCTCTCTTAGGTAACAGAAGCGGAAAAGAAATGAAGGAATGCCGCAGTCTTCTAAGAAGATGTAACTGTTTTTTTTAATTTATATTTCGCCCAAAATGCTCAATGAATTTCAATTATCTAGGTCAAGAATTGCCGAACACAGATGAAGTAACCAAAAATCGTATTCGTGAAAGTCATCGGGAAATTGAGCGTTTGCATTCAATCGATCCAAAAAAAGTGCGAAAAGCATTGAAGCAGCCGGAAGTCAAACAAGAAAAGGAAATTATCGAGCAAATCATTGAAAAAATGATACGTAATTGAACAAATGTCAATTTCAAAGCAACGGAATTAAATAAATCCAAATTAGTTGAATTTTATTAATTGGTTTTGATTTGTTTTTATTTTTTGCATCCTCGATTTGGAATCGAAATTATTCAATGGGCTCACGTCTCAATGAATCTTCTTTCATTCATTCATCAGTGAGTCAATTTCATGAAATCAATATTTGTTTATCGACACATTTAAACAGTGGACTGAGGTCTTCTTTTGAATTTTGAATTGCACGTCAATATTTATCTTTAAAATTCAAAAGTTTATACTGATGTGTATGGATCAGCATTTTTCGATTACTTCCATTTCGAATAAATGACATTATTGTGCGTGAATTCTTTCGATTCAACAGTTGCGTTTGAAGCTCGGCTGAAGCACTCAATTAATCTGATCATACACGCCAAAATATTTTCGAAAAACCATCATGAACAAAGACAAGGAGTTTGACAAACATCAAAAACTGATGGAAAGAGGTAATTTTTAAAATTGTTTTTCTCTTTTTTGAGTTTGTTTTATATTGTTACTTTTTTTTTAATTTGTTCTCTAGCTCACGCTCTGCCAGTTTCAGAGGATATTTCCAGACAATCTCTACGTAAAAGCCAACAGACACTTGAGTACCATTATTCAAACCATCCTGTTATTGTGCGAGCTATGTTCGATGCGCCGGGTCTGCAGAAAAACCGTAAAATATTCGAACAAGTATGCACGATAATGGAAGAAGATTTGGAATCAAGGAATAAAACAAATACTACCTAAAATTGATTGTAATTTCATGTGATTTCGTTTGGATTGAAATAAATATGAGTTAATTTTGGCATTTCATTGTATTATTTTGTATTCCGTTGCTGTAAAGACTAAGAATCCCTGTTTTTCAAAGGCAATTGTATTTTAAATATGAGGAAAGTGTCGAATATACTTATATACTTGAATTCAATTTTCAACTTACATTACATATATTCGTAGCATGGCTAATTAGTATTACTTTGTCATCTGACACTGAAGTTTATCAATTATTGGAATGTCGACTGTATCTCAATCATAATACGTCAATATTTATCTCTGGAAACAAACCGTATATTATTTCACTGGAAAGTGAATCATCATTTTTGCATCTTGAATTGTAAATGTTGTGTGAACTGTTTGTGATTCATTTACCCCAAATTTTCGAAAAAAAAAATCTGGAAAAAAAATCCTGTTAAGGACGAATTTCACACTTTACTTTCGATAAACTATTTCCGCAGAAATGAAAAAAGAAAGCAACATTATCGCTTTGGTCAATTTGATATGTCAACGAAAGTTGAGTAAATGACAATTAAATAAATTGTCTCTAAACGAGTATTATTTTATGTTTTCTTTGCTTTGAAATCAATGTACAACATTTTTTTCCGTTCGAACATAGTCATATTTTAACTGTATATGCACAATCGGTATTTCTTCCGTGCGTCATATTTTTAAAACTTCGAAATGATTTATGAAAACGGTTGGCTTCGCTAGTTCTAAAATATTTCATGTCATTGCATTTATAAAGACTCTTTTTTTGTCGGCTTAGCATGACTCACGTTTTTATTCTCGGAGAACGATCGAAAAAAAAATCTCCTAATTTTTAGCGCATTTCTCTAAAGTAAAAAACAAACAAGGTTTATTATTTATTTATGACATTAGCTTCGGAACCGATTTCAATAGATACAAAAAATTCATTTCGTCTATGTGTCATGTGTACGTTCATATACATATGCGCTCGGTAAACATGTTGATTTTTGTTTCTTTCCATTCATTTGATAAGTACCGACCCAACTCAATGAATGTTTGTAGTCAATATGGTCGCGTTGCTTACGATAAATAAACGAGCATGCATTTTATCGGTTTTATGCAAATTGATAAACTAAACAGTTGCGCGCTAATTTGAAAATGCACAAAATATATTATAATTATATGTATCGATACAAAACGTGCATTGAGCACTATAAAATTTCAAACAATATGCACATTGCACACTCATTAGGTAAGCATACACAAATAAAAATCGTATATATCTTTTTTCATCGAGTTTCATTCACTTTGTGACGGGCAGAAAGTGAAACAAAGAGAAATATTTCGAAAGAACCTTTTACATTTGGCGAAAAGCCTATTTGTTAAAACTAAACGCACTTATGGATGCCGATGGAGAGGGAGAGAGAGCCAGTGTGTGTGAGAGAGAGAAAGAAACGGGGAAAAAAACCGAGGGAAAAATTGATTGCTTTGTCGTTAAGCATGACTTCTTACAATAAATTATATATACAAAATAGAATACGAAAATATGCAGTAACGCAGAGAGCGATAGACGATGAAACAAAAGACTATATATATATATGTAAAGAAAAAGCAGAAGCAGCAACCGAAAGAATTCGAAGGGAAAATGTTGTGTGCATGAAAAATTATGATTTAACGCCAAACAGCGAAGAAAAATATTACTTTTATAAACAAACACAAAGTGAGTTTAGTGCAATTGCACTTTTCTCTCATTTCAGTTGGATTGTGAGCTATTTCTTTCTTTCTCTCATCATCTTCGTTACCATTTCTTCTTCTTTCGGTTCGATATTCGTGTGGGTTTTTTTTCGTTCGGTTTATTGCACTATGTGCATGGATGCGGTGTATTGAATCAGCCAATGTGCTTTTGTGCATCCGATAGAAAATTGCGGCGGTGAACAGAGATGAAAACCACATTTTATTCAACACATAAACGGGAAATTGTGTCATTTTTTATATATATATATATATATTGTCTAACATTTAATGTATATAAAAAAAGAGAAACTTTAATCGATTTTCGGATCATCGTCGTCATGAATTGTTCAGCATTTGACAAAGATACCACTAAAATTATTTAACAATTGCACCACAATCAGGTTAGATATATTTAGGTCATTGTATGTGCATTGCTACTCTATTTAGTTTAGATTGGCCCCGTTTCACTTGCCACGATGTAAATTTCTGAAGTCCGAATTAAAGTGCTCGTTTTATTTATTGATTTACAAGAACCCATAGCAATATCATCACTTGTAGTGCCATGTAGAATGCATCTCACATGGCATTCAAACACGAAGATAATAAAAATCGATATTTCTCTGTGACAGTATCAGTGGCATTGATTTCTATGGCATATAGTGTTACTTTGAGTAGCTAAAAGTCGAGCTAAATATCCACCATATAATTTCATTCGATGGGTGTGATCACAGAAAATGAGATGGATGAAGAAATGGCCGAAAAATTACCGTAGATCATAATGGTTATGGAAAAACTTGTTCAAAGTTTATTCCCACCGACGGTCAATTTAAGCCGAAAGAATTCCTTGTATTTTGCCTCTTAATTAATGCGATTGAACTTCATGTTGAATGAGAGACGGCAATGAAATGGAGAAACGAAAGAAAGAGAGAGAAAATGGAAGTCAACGATTTTCTAATGTATTTTTTTTCTTTCGCTCTTTCTCTCTTTTGCTGCAAAATGTTAAGCGTGTATCAAAACGAATGAAATAACAACATGAACAAGCGTGCGTGCATTAGAAATCGATACTCTCAAGTGCGTTGCTCGCACTTTTTTTTTCGTTTAAAAGTTGAATTCCACATGAGAATCTTTCATTTGCGAAGAGAGACAAAACCGGTTCAATATACCGTTCATCGAATTTGAATTTAATTTGCACTCACTTTTTCTATCAATTTTTTTCTTCTTCTCACATCTTAATTTTTCATCAGATTAATTCGTCTTACATCAAAGTTGTCTGATGTGTCAATGTCAAGAATTTTCAATATATATAAGAGACAAAACAAAAACAATACGCATGTGTATGTGATTTACAGTTATCCGTTCAGACATTAAGTTGTCGAATGGCCATGCATTAGTAAAATTGTTTTATCTTAATCTCAACTTTATTCTGTCGTCACAGCAATTTTTTTTAATAAACGCTGCATATTATAACAATCGACACCGACTCTGCCTCGCTGTTCAATGGAATTGTTTATAATGCGAAATGTCACTGTAAATAAATATCGTCAAAAATGTTCAAAACTGACTGAATCATTCTACGCGTGCTCTTCAAGTAGGCGATATTTATTTGAATAGAAACGGACGAATTGAATCATATAATGGCCATTATAATTCCGGCAACATCAATTCGATACAAAAGTGAATATTTTTGTTCAACATGCAGTCAAATCTGGTTTGTGGTTAGCACCAGTCGCGATCTCATACGACCATGCGAAGGATGCCGCAAATTTTATCAACCACATACGTGGGTATGTTTATACATCGCTCGGCATTTCCGCTACAGATGATGATTCGCCAAACACAAAAAAATCGATGAGATTTTAAAAAGCATGCATTTTTTTCCCGTAAAATCACTGGTGTTCATAAAATATAAAAAGACACAAAGAAATCACCATAATCAAGTAGCTAATGAAAAAAATGATATGCCATAAAAAATTGTATCGAAAATAGAGCGGTTGTAAATAGTGTAGTTGTTATATATAAAATTTGTTATTTTTGTTTCAATTTTCCAGTCTGCAATAGATTGACTGCATCACGATTTGCTGACCAGTGTAAGAGTATGCACAATCAACTGCTTCATATGATTTTATGCTCAAACAATGCAGTGTATTCATGAAATGACTGCAATAAATATCAATCAATGGTACTAATTCATAAACGATTGTGTTTGATTTTATCCGTTTTCCCGCATTCGCTTCGACAGAACAAATACACACATTCGATCATTTGACGATCAGCGTCCATCAATTTTTTTTTGAAAATCAAACGTCATTCAGTTTATGTTCAAACAGTCAGACAGTCAATATTCCGAAGGTGAAGCCGTGTGAACATGTCATTCTACACAGTGTACTATTGCGCCAAATGCAATAAATGGTGGTCGCAGCTGAACGTTGCGGTGTCACAATTGTCATTATGCCATTGCTGTGAAATGTATTGGTTTCCACACGAAGAAGTAAGACAAACTTACGCTCTTAATTACATACATTAATTGCCGTTGTTAATTCGATTATATTTAAAAAAAAATAACATTCATTTTCAATTACAGCAACAACATTATGACTCTTCCAAATTCATGCAAAGACTGACCGACGTTCGGATATAAGCAATCACGGAAAAGGCGAAGTGAAAATACTGCTATTTCTTTCGGAAATAAAATACTCAAAAAATGTTTGATCTCATCAAAAAATAAAGTGAAATGACGACGGAACACTGTCGATCAATTTAAAGAAAATCAAAGCGTCGATGTTTCATTTTACAAAACGATATCGGTAACATTTCCTTTTCGATTTGTTTCCAAAATAATTGTATTCGTATCACCGACTCTTTTTTTTCGCCGAATTCCAAGCGTATATTTTGATAGCAATTGACATACTTGTATTCCACAATAGTTGTATCCGTACACTTCAATAATTGGTTAATAACACTTGAATAGTCCGGAATCGTTGATGAAACCAATATTTTCAATTGAAGAATTTTACACCGTTTTGTCGGAAAGTGCTTTTGATTGAATTTCACCAAATACCAATCAATTATGAATGTATTAAAAGTGGCTGCCTATTGAGAGTGTGTTGAAGTATTTAAAGGTGGAAAAAAAATTCAGTTGCATCGCTCAGTTTGAGGTTAAGTAAGCTAGCTTGTATATTTGAATCGGTTTCACTAAATAAACAACAAACCGAAATATTTGACAGTTCTTGACATCAAGTTTATTTGAAGTTTGTTTCAAGCCGAATTAAATTGCGTTTCCTTAACAATAAAAGATAGATTGTCAAAAGCAAGGACATCTAAGCAATGATGCAAATAGAACAAAAATATGAATACCGTGCACAATACGGTTGTTTAAAGTGTCATCAACAATGGTTTTCAACGAATGTAACGCGAAATCGACCAACGCTGTGCAAAACATGCGGATGGCCAGCATATCCAGATGCCGAAAATATTTGCTCATTTTTTTATATGCCGCGATACAGATCAATCTCACGTTTGTTGACAAAATGATACTGATACTACTGAAAATGATACCACCGGCCGCCGCCGCCGCATTAAAACAAAATTGATACAATCAAAAAAGGTAACATTACCCAACGAAACATCGTGTTGCATATCAATGAGATTCATTTTTGTTATTTGTTTGTTTCTTTTCTTCTGTAGAAAATGATGTCACAGCCACACAGAAGATTATATTTTAACAACGCTGACAATACGAAAAAATACAAATGAACTGATGTTTCTCCACTTTTGGAATGAACGGAGCCAAATTTGGTGAAAACTTTAAAATTTGTTTGAAACAAAATCGAAAATGACGATAAATGTCAAATTGAAAAATGTCAAGATTTTTTTAAATTCAAATATTGTTCCCATATATTGTATAAGAATCAACATTAATTGATATGAAAATGTGATTGCATTTACTGTGAAACAATGATATTAAATATATCTGCTTATTTTTTTTTTCATTTAATTGAAATACGTTTTTGGTGTTTGCAACAACTTTTCCTCTCAATTTTATGATTTTGTGTAATTTTCTATGTACAGGTACATGAATTCCGTCCCGTTTTTTTACAGACGATTGTGAGGCTGTGCGGTACAGAGTTTTTCATATATCAAAATAAGTCCGTCAACTCTTTGCACTCTATAGATTAATTACCGTTTTTTATAGCAGAGATTTAATTGCAATTGTATTGGCTCATAGCTCGCAACCCCAACCAACATTTTTTCTTTCAAAATTTGTCTCTTGATGAGACGAATATTTTTTTAGCGATTACACAATTTCCTTTGTGTGAGTAAAAGCAGTCTAAAGACATTTTAAAATGATGAATTTTTGATTAGAAATCAAATTAAATCATATCATAGCTGAAAAGAGAACTTGAATCAATTCTTTTAAAAAAACTGTTCCAAGCAATAGTGTATCGATACCGTGTATGTTTTTCTTCTTGCTTCAATTATTTAAAATGGAATTGATTGATGAATACAAAGGTAAGCAAAAACATATGTTTTGAGTTTTGACTTGTTCAACAACAACAAAAAAGAAAGAAAATGTTGACAAGGAAGCGGCAATTGCGCGTATTCTATAGAATTACGACTTTGAAATTGTTTCCATCTCAATCAACTTCTTTTCGACGAATTTTTTATAATTTACCACGAATATTTTAAAACAGTTCCTATAAAAAAGAGTATTTTGTTTTTTGGCACCGATGAGCAATTCATTTATATATGTAAGAACATTATGTGTTTTTTTTTTTGCAATTTGCATCAATTGTTTTGGTAGAATCACAGATAATGTTATCAACTTCAGAATTTCAGCCTTTCGTTTAATTTAAAGTTTTCATCATATCTATTGAATATATCGAGAACAGAGTATGTTATTCAGCGCTTATGGCTGAGTAATGTCTGAATAAAAACATACTCTCCTCTCGATATTTTCAATAGATATATTATTCTTGTTCTCTTTTATTTATACACCAAGTTCTGGTAATATTTAATATGCAATCTTGCATACTTACTCATTGAAACACATTCTGTATATTGCTTGAATAAAATGCTCTTCCAAATATTATCTAAAAAAAAGAAGAAAAAAGAATTAATGATATTGGCTTATTATATATTTATAAGATATTTATTTGATCCATTTGTTTGCTTGGAGAAGCATAACGTAGCATTTCATGCAATGCCAACAATAAATAATCTTATTTATATTGGCGAGATAAATATGGAAATTGAGATAAAACAATTGAATGCACACTTTGCTTGAATATTATTTTATGGATTGTTTATTGATTTTGCTCTAAAAAAAAAATTGTCAGTATCGCTAATTTTCTCTCAATATTTATCAATTTATTTCTCTTCATTTTCTTTATTTTTTAAATAAGATATTAATCTTCATTTGCATCGAATCTGATTTAAAACAAAAGAATTGGATGAAAAAGATAGGAAATGTTGACGTATTTTTTTTATCGAGATCATTTAAACTCAACTTATATAAAATGACATCGCATCTTCTTGTGGCCATAGTGTGAAATTTATTCGCATTACAGTGAAGAGTTTCTTAACAAGAGAACAAATTATTTTCTCGAGATGGAGAAGATTCACGCCGAATACTACTGTCCAAATTGCGATGGCATTTGGAAACAAGTCAATTCAAATCGATATGAATTGAGACCATGCCCAAACTGCAATAAATGGCGTCGACCATTTTTTCAGGTTTGATATCATATTTGCGTGTTTATTCATCTGTCAATATACATTTTTGGATTTTTTTTTTTCATTTAGCTTGAGATAACCGACGACTTTTAATCGAATTCATTTTGGGTGCATGACTGTATAAGTCATAATTGAAACCATTGAAAAGAGCCTTGGATATTTAAAAAAAAAAAGCAGATATTATCAGACGTCTAAATAAACTTCGTTTCATATCGGTCAGTTATCGGTGGAGTCATTTATAGACAATCATAAAAGACGTTTTTTGTAAAAAATACTCTCATTGTTTGCTGTATTTCAATACGTTAAAGCCCTTGCTGTCATTGAGTCATATTTGTTTACTTTCACTGTAATATTTATGCCTTTTTTATGTCTGCATATTATTATTTGGTTTATTTTATTCGGTTGAATTTGTCAATTTTGCAATAAATCATGTTTACATTTGCTTCAATCGATCCTTCGATTGATTTTCAATTGGAAATTAATTTCAAGTTGATCATTGAACAATCAGATACGCAGTAGAAAGCATCAGATACAAACGCATAATAAAAGACAAATAATTTTGAGGATTCTAATAAAAAGAATTGGAACAAAAAGAAAGACATATGGATCAGGTGATTTACAGAGCCGCATACTATTGTATGGTCTGCAATTTGATTGTATGCGATTATTGCGCATTCTGTAATAGACAGTGGTACCCAAGACATGAGGTAAAAATCATTTGATTTTTTTTTTTTTTTTTTCAATTTAAAAATTCGAAAAAAATTTCAATTTAAAAATTCAAAAAATTATGATTTTGATTTAATTATTTTAGCGGGTTTTTATAATGACCAGCCAAGCACGATACACGGTCTAAACGGATCTGATCAACAAAATGAAATACCATTGCAATCGAGACTATTCAAAATATAAATGAAATTGTAATAATAATTACGAAAAATAAGAATAAATTCTTTCTTTTTGTATTTTGAAAATATTCTTATCTTTATCATTCGTTCACAATTGTTTTGTAAATGAAAATAAAATGCTCTTTGTCGATTGTATTGCTCCATTTTATCTGTTAACGTCTTCTTTCAATATTCATACATTGAAGCTGATTTTCTTTGTTAATTATTAAAGATAGAAACGTTGATTAAATTCCATTGAATTATCATTGGTCGATCATTTAATATGAAACTGTAAGTAAAGATTCATTCAATATTAAGCTGTGAATAAAAACACATTAGCGAGTGAATAACACGCATTAAAAATGATCACATATGGATATCTTTACACTTACTCGTGTCTAAATTGCAATCGGTCATGGCATCGAGTCAATAAAAATAGCAGCCAACCGGTTGAGTGTCCAAATTGCCTTTTAATTTGCACACCGGTTACCGAGGTTTGTTATCTAAAAAATTTCATTTTAAGTGCATTACAACGTTTTTTAACTGATCAACTTTGATTTAGGATATAATTGTCTATGAACCAAGGTGTTGACGACCAGAATAATAAAATTTTGCAACAAAATGTCCACGTGACAAATATACACTGAAAACAATCGATGTTGAAACTTCATGATGTACGTAAGATACCTTCGATAATGCAAAAATTATTTTCTCGTTGGAACCATACAACTTTTATTGTATTTGAATCTTTTCTACGAGAATAATGGAAAAAATCACTATTATACACCGTGCTTAAAATTGTTTGATTAAATAAAAAATAAAACCAATTGAGACGATTAATAATTCTTTCCAATTTGATGATGAAATAATATTAAAAAAAATTGCTCTTGTGAAAGGTGCAAATTATGAATTGTCTACAACAATATAATCGATGTAGCCAATGGAACGATGCTCGGTTTTGTATTGAGGCACGTTTACCAATTTGATGATTCGCTAATCTAACGTTTTCAATGCATCATTCATATTTTACCGAAAATTACACGGCGGAAAAGCGTCAGCAGTTCGTAATTTATTTTGACATTAAAAGTGCATCAACTGATGCGCGAAATGTGTCCGACCTCGATGAATCGAATTTTATTCACTTCCATACGATTTTTCTCCTTCACAAAAACCTTTTTTTTCGTTTTTTTTTTCGTTTATTTTTTAAACTTGAGCACATAAAGTGAACTCAAAAAACTTTCAGAAACAAAGAAAAAATGAATGTATTCTTCTAAAGCCAAAATCTATTCTCAATGAAATGAATGCAAAGCTAAGTGCTATTCATAAGATGGATTTGTTTGATGCAGACCGAATAAATTGGTGGTTCATTGAAAATCATGAATTATGGTGGTTTAAATGAGGAAATTTTCATCTCTTATGATATTTCGATCGAAGATCTTGATTGAACCAATTTTTTTTTCGTATCTTGGTATTTAGACGCAAAAAGGTAAGGTAAGGAATATTTTCCATTAAATTAAATGTCACATAAAACGCTGTTAGAATCGGTGTAGCCGTTTGCTGAAGATGATGATGATGAACAAAAAAATGGCAAATGCGTACAACAAACGCGATGACAAATGACATTTACGTGGATGTTGTCAAGCATTGTAACCCAATTCAATGGTATAATAAATAAATGAAAAAAAGACAAAACTGTAGCCGTCGGTGTGTTTTTTGGAATTGACCGTTTCGGAGTCAATGTTGTTTCTATATTTGTTTTGTATCAGAAAAGTGCCAGCGAACATTTTTCATTAACGAACATGCCAAAAAAAAATTATTAATTTCTATTGCTCTTGACACATTCTTCGTAAACAACAACATTTTGTATTTGTTTCCCTTCTCTTTTTGCGTTCGGTTTTTTTCCGCTTCTAATCATGACCATTTGTTTGCATTCAAGTTCCAGCAAAACCGTAGCGCGGCCATTTCTGTTCCATATTTGTGTGCGCGTTCGCGCGCCACATGTAGACTGGAGAGAGAAATTGACCCATTTTCAACATAAAATATACGTATATTGGCAAATCGTGCAAACATTCTTTTAAAGACAAACTCGTAGAAAATAGACATCGTCTCTATAGATGACGCGCTATGTTTATATCACATTTAAGCATTCCATTTCATTTGGGTTGCGATAATTATAAACAAAATGAAACAAAGTGAACGAGTGAGCGAGCGAGCCATCGAGGAAAATAGAGAGAGAGAAAGAGAAAGAAAGATATCGCATGAACCAGACAAACAAGAATCAAAACCAGAGCCAATATAAATGCCTAGCGGCCACAACTTGATTTTAAACGCTCAAACAATTAGACAATCTAATGGTTTTACATATTTAGTTCAACCACATGCACAAATTTATCACACGCAATTGAGGATAAACGTCGTTACCGGCATCGTGGTTGAGATTTGGGCCAGAAATACACAAGAGTAGTAAATGTTTAAATCATCTGATTCGACCAAGATCTTCTTTTTTTTAAATATATAGAACGTCGATGATAAAGAATATATTGATTGCTTACTGTCACACATCGCTAAATAGAGCACAAAACCAATTAAACTGATGAATGGGCGGAGGTTAAGTGCTGGTGCCGACGGCAAATTACTTTTGAAAAGAGAACACACTTAATTTAATGCGATTTTTATTAAACAATCTTTCGAGTGCATAATATCAGTGACCGGTTCGCGCATATTTCTATGCCTGATAGCTATGCTAAGCATAGCGGAGACGCAAGCCGCAACGCACCCGTCACCATTCGATTCGAGCTATATTGTATGCGCACGGTCGTCTGCATAAACGAACATGTGCATTGTTCATATAGAGTGAACGGCGATGCGTCGGTTGCGTTTGCGGCTATGCTTGGCATATCTATGCTACCTAGCGTATTTAGGCAAGCATAGAAATATGCGCGAACCGGTCACTGCATAAAATAAAAAAAACCCAGTTGATGTTCCGGTCACGATATCCCTTTGCGATGCAATTTTTTTTGCCTCGAAGGCATCGTGTTTTTTTTCTTTTATTTAGAATTATTTTGGTTATAGACTACGAATTAATTGAAAATCGACTTTGAAAACTGAACATTAGAATCGTTGATCATTAAATAGCTTAATGCACGATTGCCTCGGAATTACACTTTTTAACGCAAAATTTCCAATTTTTCGATATAAATCTTAATCAAATAGCGTTGGGGCTGATACTTAATCGATTGATCACGAACTATCTCTCTCTCGAGGGATCGACATCATTAAATGAAAAAGATAACTTCATTGAAAAAAACTGTCTCATTAGTGAGTGTTTGCGTCGGTTGATCTAGATGTAGTTGGCTCCATTTGTGGTTCATCAGAAAAAAAAACGCTTTTATTCTCCAACATAATCTGCTTATGAAGTAAACTCTCTTCTCTTCTCTTTCTCTTTCAAAACAAAAATACTCTTATCCTCCTCT